GGTGTGTGTGTGTGTGTGTGTGTGTGTGTGTGTGTGTGTGTGTGAGTGAGTGAGAGAGAGAGAGAGAGAGAGAGAGAGAGAGAGAAATATATTTTCAGACTGTTTGCACCCAGTCTTCTCATTGCATTGCATCTCTCGTCTGGTACTGGGACTATACTTTAATATTTAATCAGAGATTAGGAATAGACAGAAAAAAAGAACCAATCCAGTTTGCTGTATAGCATGAAGAAGAAGAGAATACAAATCTTATAAACCTTGTGTGGGGGGTTCTTTTCTTATAATGCAAGAACAAAGAGTTATTTGGTGAAAATGAAAGCAACAAATTTAAAATGGTTAAAAGCAATTAAATTTATAAACCACTGATAATTGATAGATGAAACTCACTTCCACAAGATATTGAGGCTAAAAGCCTAGTGTGATTCAAAAAAGGATGAGCTATTTATATGGATATTGAGATCATCCTGCAGTTATATTAGATGGGATAAAATATTTTTAAGGGTTAGATGCCCTCAAGTTTCAGGGCATAAATCAACCACTAGCTTGACAGTGGTTAAGAAAAAACTTTCCTTACCATTTGTATTTTCCATAATTGTCCACGAGGGGAAATTTTGCACCTTCCTCTAAATCAGGGGTTGGCAACGTTTGGCACGCGGCTTGCCAGGGTAAGCACCCTGGCAGGCCGGGCCAGTTTATTTACCTGCTGACGCGGCAGGTTCGGCCGATAGCGGCCCCTACTGGCCACAGTTCGCCGTCCCGGGCCAATGGGGGTGGCGGGAAGTGGCGCGGGCGAGGGATCTTTGCTCTAAGATTTGTATTCTCTTCTTCTTCATGCTATACAGCAAACTGGATTGGTTCTTTTTTTCTGTCTATTCCTAATCTCTGATTAAATATTAAAGTATAGTCCCACTACCAGACGAGAGATGCAATGCAATGAGACGACTGGGTGCTTACCCTGGCGAGCCGCGTGCCAAACGTTGCTGACCCCTGCTCTAAATCATCAGATGTGGCCATGTTCAGAGACAAGATACTAGACTAGAGGGAGGACTGTTCTCATCTAGTGTGACTGCTCCTGAGTTCCTGTGTCTGAACAAAATGTCAGGCAACATGGCCATTATCTCTTTGCTGGGGGTAGGAGAATAAGAAGAAAGGAAGTCATTGTCCTTGCATCATATATTACAGCTCAAACCACAAAGATAATGCTCATAGTTAAGGTTACGATTTAGTCACGGGTGTTTATAGTATAAGTCATGAACAGGATGTGGGCAGTAAACAAAAATTCACGGCCCTGTGACCTGTCCATGACTTATGCTATAAATACCCCTCACTAAATCTGGGGGGTGATACCCAGGGGGGACTGCTGGGGCGGTGTGCGGCACTGCTTGGGGGTGGGAACTGGGGGGCCGCTGCTGGGGGGTCGCCCTGGGGCCAGCGGCACTAGCTGCCGGAGGCTGCTGAGCAGGGGCTGCTCCAGCCTCCTGGGGACTGCTGAGCAGTGGCAGCTCTGGCTGCCCCGGAAACCACTGCTGGGGGCCACCAGTAGCGGCTACTCCGGCTGCCCAGGGACCGCCAGCAGCAGCTGCTCTGGCCACTCCAAGGACCGCTGCTTGGTGGTCCCGGGGCCAGCTGCCCAGGGCCACCCAAGCAGAGGCAGTGCAGCTGGGCCTGGGGCCGCTCCAGCAGCAGCTGGTGCAGCTGGCTGCAGGGCCACCCAAGCGGCTGGCTGCAGAGCCGCTCCAGCAACGGCAGGTGTGGTTGTCCTTCTGTGCATAGGGGTGGCATCGAAAAAGGCACTAATCAGGTATCGGGACTCATATCACTGACTTTACATTGCCTGCTCTCTGACTTCCTCTAGTGGATGGGGTTCATCAAAGGCAGAGCCAGAGTATAATATGTTCTGGCAGTTCTGGCCCAGTGGAATAGTTCCGAAGAGACTGTTCCAGCTAGTGTAAGTTCATACAGCCCTGAGGTGGCTTAGAGCCAGCTTTGCCTCCCTGTTGCATCTCAGCACAGGTGAGGATGGAGCTCAAAGTATCTTACAATTAACCCCCCAAAATCAAGCTTGTTGTGTGCCCTCACAAACAGCTGTTGAAGTGAACCCAGCAATAGGTCACTAGAAATCCTCCTGCTCAACCCTCACTGTGACAGAGTTGCAAAAAGCTGTGGCCTTTTTGTTAAGTCACGGTAGAGAACATTGCAAAATTCTGTCTTCAGTGTCACAAGACATGGAGCATGAAATCAGTTTGTGAAAGACGTGGCTGGAGAACACTTCTTATTAAACGTTTGGTGGCCTAGAGAAAGGCCTCTCTTCTCATATATCCTGTATTCTTGGTCTTGCTTAAGTTCAGATTCATTCTTAGATTTTCCTGATACAAGTGCGAAAACAACAAATATCACCCTTGTTGTCAAAGGAGATTAAGGTGTATGATTGGATGTCTAATGGTGTTATCCCATCCATACTCTCTCTCAAAGATCTCCAACATGAAACGTATAGAACTGAAAATCATCATACTCAACATCTATCCTTAAGGGAATATGTAATCTCTGCAAAGAATTTATCGTCTAAGATTGTTGCTTCAAGTAATGTTGGAATCAGTTCAGAACATTCCCAGTCATGCTCAACCAGTCTTCCAGCCGATGAAACGAAATCCATATGATCAGCAACTTTAAATGCCACTATTAGACCCAATACTGCCAGCAAGGAGAGGTATCCTGTGGCATACATATAGATCATTAGTGGCTGAGAAGGGCCAACTCAGCATATGTAATTTCCTAAAGCCAGAGAGATTTTTATCCTGTAGATCAGTGCTAACCACAGGACACACTAGGCGGTCACTACCACCTTCCCCAGTACTGTGGCCCAGAATGCCAGATCTTAATTCACCAGTTGCAGAGAGGTTGAGTGAGAATTTTTAATAACATAGGCTTCACTTCCAGCTTTTTCAGAGCGTGGAATCATCTCCCACTTATTCTGCTAACTCCACTATCGTTGAAAAAAGAGATATAACTGCTTTTAAAATAAACTGTCAGGCGAGGATCTGAATCTCAGGCTGTGGGATTAAGCCCACCACTTTAGCTCTAAGTCTGAATTGACTTGTAATTCTCTCATAAAGCCAAGGAGCTTGAGACTTCATGATCTGGCAATAGGTCCTTAATTTGGCAATGTTTCTCAAAAATCTGGTACTCAAAATCTAGAAAATAGATCATACTTCTCTGCCAATGTCATATCCACTGATTGCTGACAATCCAGGTGGCTAAAACTGTCAACAAAACTAAGGAGGGATGACAGATTATTCTTTGTGAATGTTATTGTAACCAATTAGTCAGCCTGTATTACCTATCCCCTTTTGTACCCCCCTCCTACTGCAAACCTGTTACAGCTC